GAGGGAGGAAAGGTGGAATTACTTCTTTCTGGGGGGAAAGTCAGCCCTTCGACACTGACAGCATGGGGGTTCTCTTAACTGATCTTAAGAGGGAGAACAGGTCAGTAGGAAAGGTCTTCTCCCTGGAAGGGAAAGGTCTCAGTTGGGTTACATTCATGTTGATTTTATTGATCTTTCTGCTGGACATAAATAAGGTGACTGGCTGGCCTCTAGTAACCTTCCCATTGATATTTCCACAATAACTCACCCTTTCTTCTGGGGAATCACTTTCCTTTCCTCCATCTTCCCCTCACACCCTCTCACATACCGAAACACGGTCATACGATCTGTGTGGGAGCAGCCATTCTCCTACTCTAGCCCACCTCCTCGACTTCAGTGCTTAAAAAAGCTCACTTGACTCCTCTGTCCAAGTGATGGGTCAGGACTGGCATGTGACATGACGTGAACAATGGAATGCCCTCCCCAAGACATTAGACCCTGGGGAAGGTTAATGCCCTTTTCTTTTTGGCCAACAAACAATATAAAGATGAGTACCCGGATCTGCAGACAAGGATCCATCCTCATGGATGAATAAAACCAAAAGAACGAAGTTGATTAGCAAAGAAACAGAAAGGGCAGAAAGAGCGAGGTCTTGACGGTGTTTGATTTTCAGTCCCATCTGTTCCTGTGGCAAACCCACCTTTGTCCTTTAATTGCATGGGCCCGTGGACGCCTTTTCTGACTAAGCAACTTGACAACATAGCCCGTCACCAGAAACCAGAGACCTAAAACAAAAGTAAAGTGACTACAACCTTCAGACCGTTTTGTGTCCAAGAGTCTTAGCCCCAGCAGCAACCCAACTACAGGTTGTTTTAAGAGGTTGTTTGTTTGTATGTTTCCCAACATCATCCCTAATGTAATCGCTGAAAATGAGTGCCCTAGTGTTACCGGTATAGCAGTACAACTCACAGATTTGCAAATGACTGATTGGAAATACTGACTCTGAATTTGGCAGGCTCAATTTTATGCATTGGTTCAGTAAAAATAGATACACTGAAGGTTTCAACAGTATTTGACTCATTAAAAAAAAAGAGAGAGAGAGAGAGAGAAAAGAAAAAAAAGTTATTGGCCAGCACGTGGTGTGCAAGTTAAGGTGACTGGATCCCACATGGCCAATGAAGCAATTCAAATCCCTGATCCAGTGACTTGAAAGCCATTGCAGGTGCGTGTACATGCATGCCCATAATCCAGAGAGGAGAATGGAGAAGAAAGGATTGTGATGTGGCCATTCCCCCAGGGGATGATGTCTGTGATGTGGCCATTCCCCCAGGGGATGATGTCTTGCTTCTTCTTTCTCTCTCTCTCTGGTCAGTGCACATACGCCATAGCACAAAGGGGGAGGGGGGTGTTATCTCTTGTTAGACTTTCTCATTCCAGGTATTCTTAGCCTCTATTATACTCAGTTATGTCATGAGCTTTGGTTTGACTTAGTGTGTGAAGCAATTGGAAACTGGCAATATTATAAATGGTTCTTATTTTGATTTTGTGGCTCTGTTTTTCTCTCTCCAAAGATGGTATCTATTTCTCATAGTCGGCAGCAAATTCTTGGCAGCAGGTAATAAACACATCAATCCTCTTTTCCACACCCACTGTCAGAAGTACTAACGTTAACTTGAAACGTAAGCAATTATGTATAAGATAAAATACTTTTGAATATACACAATGAATGAGCCATAAAGAAAGTGATTGGTTCATTCTAAGTGTTAATAACCAGTTAAGATTTTGGGAACCAGCAGTTAGCGTAATCGCTATGTCGCTGGACTCCCACATAGTCAATCGCGGTTCGCGTCCCAGACATGGTGGCCTAAAACTCACGCCGGGCGCGTGTGTGTGAGTGCCCAAGATCCCGAGAGGAGAACGGAGGAGAAGGGATTGTGGCGTGGCCATCCTCCCTGGGGGGTGATTTCTCGCTTTCTGTCTCTATGTCTCTCTCTGTCTGTCTGGTGAGCGCACGCGCCCTATAGCAGAAAACAAAATAAACCTCTCAAAAAAAAAAAAAAACAGTTAGTTAAGATTTTGGAAAAAGGATTGTAATAAAGGGCATGAAAAAGCATCCACATTACCTGACAAGCGAGGAGAAAGATGACCTATCCTTCTAAAACAGAACGTGGGCTAGAGTAACTAGAATGACCCTTTCCATTGGAAAGGTCCTATTTAACCATCAGATTTTAGGAAGCAGAGCAGGTAGGGACTTGGTGAATTTCTCATAGCCCTGTGTCTTACAGAGCAGGCGCTGTCATGATCATCTGTTTAAGTAATTGGCGAGGGATCTCATTTCTCTTCTATGAACTAAAAAGTATGATATAGCTTTCCTAGTAAAAATTGTTTAATAGAATAACAAGTGCTATTAATTTTTTATTTCAATTGTGGCAAAATGAATTTGAGAAACAATGGATAATAAAAAGTGTTTTGTTTTTTTTCTTCAGGACTTCTCAGAGTCCTTAATATGATAACATAGATTATAAATCTTCGACACTTACCTTACTTAATTTACTGTGGGATTCTTTTTTTTCTTTAAGAATTATTTACTTAATTTTATTTATTATTATCATGATCATTTTGAGAGATTTTTGCTATAGGACTCGTGGGCTTTCCGGAGAGACAGAGACAGAAAGCAAGAAATCAGCCCCCCTGGGAGGAGGGCCACGCCATAATCGCTTCTCCTATTTTCTCCTCTCGGGATCTTGGGTACGCATGCTCACGTGCCTGGCATGAGTTTCAAAGACTCACACCGCAGTCAACTAGTGGGAATCCAGTGATGTAACCTGCTGGCCCCAACTGCAAGATTCTTTTTGAGTAGCAGATCTCGTGAAACTGGAGTTCTTCAGTGCATGCTGTAGGCAATCAATATTCTCCTAGTTTTAGAATGATATTTTACTCATTCAAATGTAAAAGGAGTATGGTTCACAGGCTTTGGTTAAATGTACACTACATATTTCTGTAGTGAAAGTGATGTATTTGACCTGCATGATAATCCTCTGGCGGTAGATTTGTGCAAAAGTAATTGAAGTTTTGCACTGTTAAAATTTGCCATTATAATTGGATATATTCTTAGATAAATGTAGTTACATTGTGTATCATTTTAATGTGCATTTCTCACTGTTTTTTGCTAATGACTTCTTATTTTATATGTATTTTAGCCTATGGAAATGATGTTAAACAAAAAGTAAATTTGAGGGATTTCTTTTTTTTTTTTTTGCCATAGAGTATGCGCACTTGCCAGAGAGAGACAATGAGAGGGAAAGTGAGGAACCCCCTCCCCCCACCCCGGAGATGGCCACACCACAATCCCTTCTCCTCCTTTTTCCTCCTGAGATTTTGGGCTTGAATTTAGACAAGCATGGCATGATTTTCAAACTTCCACATCCTAGACTCGAACCACAGTAAGTTATGTGGGAGTCCAGCGCCTTAACCTCCACACTACCACACTGCCTGAGAGCTTCCCGAATGAGTTTCTTACTTGAGCTCAAAACGGGGAGTAAAAGCAGCAGAGACAACTCGCAGCACCAATAGCATCAGCCCAGGAACTGCTAATGAATGTGCAGCGCAGTGGGGGCTCAGGAAGCTTTGCAAAGAACCCGAGAGCCTTGCCGAGAAGGAGAGCAGTGGCCAGCCATCGGAGGGTGACAACCAACTGAGAGCAGTCATCGAGGCCAGTCCTCTCCCAAACACGCAGGAAATTGCCTGAGAACTCAACTTTTTGTTGAGCATCACGACTTTTTGTGAGGAAAATACTTCCATGACCAACAGAAGATGCTTTCTAGGAGTTCGTTGAATCCTGAAGCACAGATTTTTATGCTACAAGAATAAGTACGTTAGTTGCTATGGTTTCTATTTTGATGAATAAAGATGTGTTTGAACCTAGTTCTGATGATTTCAAATGCATGTTCTGAAACCACAATTGCTTTTGCACCAACCTACTTGGGGCAATGACTAGAAATACTATTATAATAGACAAATACCATGAAGGCAGGCGAGTTTTCTGACTGAAAAGAAAGATCTGCCCCCTCTTTTCTTTAGCTTATCAATGAGCTAATAACGAACACTGGAAATCATCTTTTGCATTAAGAACAAGAGCGTATTCATTCAGATGCTTTGCCTTGAGCAGGGAGGGTGGTCGGAGAGCGGTAGTTCTAAGCACCACTAAATGGCGTACAACCCAGATCCTCAGCCACAAGTCAACATGTTTTATCTGCAAGAGCTCCTTAATGGTGAACAAGTTTTGTGGGTTGATTTTATGAATTGTTTGCCCAAAACTTTTGCCCACAGTTTTAAGGCCTTTTAGGCCCTGCAGGCTTCCACTACAAGTTTTGTGGGTTGATTTTATGAATTGTTGGCCCAAAACTTTTACCCACAGTTTTAAGGCCTTTTAGCCCCTGCAGGTTTCCACCTGCTGGCTAATCTGGTGAGTATTTAAGCAGAGATGACAGTTAGAGTGATGTTTATCTTCGTATAAATAATCTGAAGCTACAGTTGAATTCTAAATCATCTTTAAGTCATGTGATTTTGTTAGACAATTTGTGGCTGGGTGCATGTGTGTTTGTGCTCAAGATCCCAGGAGGAGAATGGAAGAGAAGGGATTGCGCTGTGGCCATCCCCACTTGGGGGCTGGGGGTAGTGATTTCTCACTTTCTCTTTCACCATCTCTGTCTCTGTATCTCTCTCTCTCTCTTTGGCAAGTGCACACAACCTAAGACAACACCTCTATAAAAACTGAAAAACAATTTGTGAATACAAATGCAATTAAGCTAAACCACCAACCATATGAGGGGACAGCAAAAGTTCATTGAAAAATGTATGTTGTGAAAAAACACTATACATGAGTTTCAAAATTTTTACACATCAAAAGAAATTGTACTTTAATTCCATTTTTTCCACAAACTTTTGGAAGTACCCTCATGTATATATGGCTTGACTATTTTAACCTAAAATGAAATTCAGAGCAATAAATGACCACTATAGACACTTGAAATCATTTATTCAAGGCATTTTTCCATAATCTTGCAATCATAGTATAAGCATATCACGAAAGAACATGAAAATGCAGAGAAGAATATAAAGCCAGCATCAAGGCATTTAAGATAAGAACTCTTTGGAAAAGTTACATATTTTCTACAAGTAGGATTACCTAAAAAATTGGGGAGAAGCTAAAACTTAAACACATTGTAATACCAAATGACACATCACTTAGTTTATAACAAGCAGTTATATATTCATTGTTTATATTCCTCGAGCTCAGATTTGATACATTTTACATTCAAGTTGAACTAATTTAGCACCTTTGTAGCTTGAAGGATAAATAAAAGGCTTTATGTTGAAAAATGTCCCAGGACTTTTGGTAGCTAGGAAGGAACTGTAATTTGTTGATTAAATATATTGTTTGTAAGTACAAGTTCCAAACATAAAAATTATAGGGGGAAAAAAAGGCACTTTTTAGCCAGCAGTTAACACAACGTGAGTATCAAAATTATTTTAAAATAAACTATTTCCTGCCCAAGAATTCAATATTTTCATGCAATCTAACTAAAATTAGCTCTCAGTGCCAGGAAAATTTTAGCAATCTACATTTCTCTAGAATTTGAATACTGGGTATGACGATCCTACAAAGTTTCAAAGAGACAAAAGAAAAGTTACTACGAATAATACCTAGTGAAGAATCAGACGACAGAAATTGTAAATAAAATTATTATATAAAAATATAAAAAACTTTCTGGAAATAGGCAAGTTGTGTATTTCTATATGTTCTGGTGCTGTTGGGAGCTGAATCTTAGTCTCAAAGGCCAAGGCACCATTAATCCAGACTGTGGTCTGAATAATTATGCGGCCCCTAATGAGACATGTGCAACTCAATGATTTTCCTATTTATTTATTTTCTCACAGCACTAATTAATGGAAAAGCCTGACTCTTCTCAGTACTCAACATTCTTTGTATCATGTCTACTTTCTGTTTTTTAAACATCTTTTGTAGAGTTTGGTTAGGCTGAATTATGCTCTTTACTTTATTCATTGACACTTTCACCATCTAATGAGTTCCGATGGTTATTCAGAGAAGCGACCCCTTTAGGTTAAAAAATATTGAGTGTTCGATTGATATTTGTGAATTATTTAGGGGTGTTTAAAGGTAAAGGGAGGGGGAAAATATTCACCTAAGGAATAAGAATAAGCAAGAAGCTTTAGCTTCCTAATTGGAAAAAGTTTTCGAAAGCAATCGAATATAAAACATGATATTTAAAAGACAGACAGTTTTAGGGATTGGAAACATTTTTAATTATTAAAAATACATACATGCATATAATTATCAACTTTTAACTTATTTTTAAAAATAGAGTATGGTCATGAAAAACAATAGTGCTTAAAATTGAACTGCTATAGACATGTACTTTTAGTAATTAAAAGTGAAATAAGGTGAACCCAATGGGTAATAATGATATTTTTAATGCATGTGGAGGCTAGGGACTGTTTTCCTGTCCCAAGGCCTGGCGCGTGAGTGCCTGATACATGACCCACTAGGCCTCCGACAATGGTAGATGATAGGCAGAGGAAAGGCCCAGTGGACGACTGAACGGGAGTCTTCTCTCGTGTGTCCCAAGGCCATGCTCATGGCTAGTTTTTATTACGAGGGCAAGAATATTAATGCAATGATAGATGTTCAATCTACAGTTGCCAGTCTGGCTCAGTATTAATACTGACAGTAGTTTTTGGTTTTTGAAAAAGCAAGTATATTAAAATATCTCTATTAAAAAAGATTACAATTTGAAAGGATCACTCTATAAACTTAAAACTAAAAAGCGATTGAAGGCAAAGAGGTACATCCGAGAAGCTATTCTATAGCCCAGTTCTAGGTCAATGAAGGGTCTGTCTGTCGGCTCTATGGGTGAGTGCGTCCCGGTAGCTAAGGGTCAGGTGTACCGCTATATCGACCTGGATGACTGCCGGCGCTAGCCCTTACCACGCCATGCTTCCGGCAAGCGTGGACTGATCATTGGTAATCAGTGCTCAGTTTACACCTCTATGACATGTGGGGTCATCGGAAAAGTCGTGATCTATTCAAAAAATACATCACGACTTTTCCGACGACCCCTATAATACAGGATGCCAACTTGAAAATTGAACCTCGTGTGTTCGGGCACTCAAAATACCTCCCTTGATCTTTTAATACTGATTAATGTAGGAAACCTTTGGCTTCAGCACCACTGACTTAAAACGTCTCATTTGATTTCTTTCTGCACCTTTGGAATGTAGGAAAAAGAAATTCTCCAAACGCTGTCGTGGCCCACGGTTTCACAGTTTAAAGTAAAATCACAGCTGTTTCTTTATGCAGCACAGTCCTGGGGGTTGCAGAAAGGATTCCGCCCCTTCAACAGTCCCCCAAGTATGTCATGCTGTGAGCTTCGCTGATTCAGACCGTGTGCACGACAGACACACACACACACACGTATGACTGATTCCTGAATAATCTAAGATGGTGTTCCCGTATTGCACACAGCCCAAGTCATCTATTCTGGATAATTTAAAAATTTTAGCTTTCCTCTTTTTAATTACTGAACATAAAAAGAAAAACGTAGAAATCTTGAAAATCCTGTTTCTGCATTTTTTTAAGTACTTGAGAGAGCTGTGAATTGAAGGACTTGTGATTTTTATGTCAGCAAGAAGTTTAATTTTTGACTTAGTGTAATCTGCTGAAATGCGTCTTATCTCTGCATGTCTCACATCTGTCACTGGGATGGCTTCTCAGTTACATGGCTGTCCTACTAATATCAGGCCCCAAAATGCTAATGTTCAGAACGCCATTGCAAACGCCTCTGCCCATAAGAAAAAGAAGAGAGGGGAGTGTCACCAGATACCAGATGGAGTCGGGCAGGTCAGTTATTAAACTTGCTCCAAAACAAAAGTCGACTCAAGTCCGCATGAAACTGAGCACTTGACAGAAAGAAACTTACCTACTAATTACACAAATGTAAACATAATTTGTATATAGGGTGTAGCTATCTGAATACATGTATCGCCACTTGTCTGCTATCTAGGTTAACTCTCGACACCAAGGGTCATGTGTTTGCTACTTTCTCAGCACCAAACATGTCCGTATCTATCTAAACAGAAGGAATACCATTTCCGAATGAATCTACGGAGGACACATATACGCCCGTTACTATTACATTTCGCTGAAGTTTCCGTACTTTAGAAAATTCTCAGCTCAGAGTAGTTTTGGCTCATTCATTGACAGAGTTTCCCCTTTTGTACTAAATTTCAAGAAGAGCACAAACATTGGGGGGGTTTCCTTGAAAGAGTCAAGTATGCAACTACAGAATTGCGACACTGAGTTAATTCACAAAAAGATGTGAATAATAAGTATTCGACATTTCCCAAATCACGTCGGTCTAAGTGCTCAACATCCAGTTACATGCTTTGTTGTAAAACGGTCCAGGCAAAAACGCCTTTGTTGTTTTCTGTTCTCTTTTCCAAAAAAACATGAACCCTACTGAAGTTTAATCTATTTTTTTCCCACTTTGGAACACCAGGCACTGATTCCATTGGGAGTCTTGGCTTGCTTTCTAATACCTAGAAAACAAAGTAAGACAAGTTATTCATTCAGTGATTAATGAACCTGATCATATCATGAATGAGTAGACAGAATTAAAGTCAGTCTTTTAAAAAGTGCAGGTAGCCATCGCTCTCGGCCTACGCAGCAGTCCACCTTGTGAGACTGAAGCATTATTTCAGCCGTGAGCTAGAGAAAGTGACGAGGTGGGCAGCAGAGTATGCCTGGTGTCATTGTTCTGGAAGTGTGGAGTCAGGGACACGATCTCTCGAACAATCAAAGTAAAGCAGGACTTACGGGACCAGCAGCCCTGACCGGGTGAGTTTCCTCCAAGGACCTTCGTTCCTTGGAGGAAAGGAGCGAAGGACAGAGCCGTGGCCTCGGCAACCTCTGCTTTAGCCCTTCCCCGGCATGGTATTGGAGGCGGTACGATGGCATCAGAGGCAGAGACAAGGTCAAAGCCAACCAATCAGGTATCATCGCATTCACCTGCGATCACAGCCCCGTACGTAGGGAAGGAGGACATTGAGTCAAAATCGGAAACTGTCAGAGTCCAACAGGAAGTTCTTGAAGACAAGAGAACTTCATCCTACTAGCTGAGAACTGAAAGGGGCCCTAGAGTCACCTGGCCCACCCGTTTTGCTTCCAGGGAGAAAAATAAAGGAGAGAAGGCCCATGAATGGCCCACACCTCCTTCCCACACCAACAGGAGGCTTTCTAATATCAAATACCTGGTTGGTATGAAAAATACCTGGGAATGGAGTGGTGGTGATTCGAGTTTCTATAAAGGTATAATGATCTCAGTGTGAAAATCACACATGCAATGCTGCTTCTGCAGCAACCAGACTGGCCACATGGCTTTTAGGTGACATCCCCTGCTCAGAAAACTTGCCGGGGCCAGCAAGTGGCATGGCATTTAGGGCGCTGGACTCTCACATGGCTGACCACCATTCCAGTCCTGAACCTGGCAGCTTGCTCTCTCTCTTTCTCTGGTCAAATTGAAAAATAACAATAATGAATGAATAAAACTAAATACAGAATTCTTTAAGAAGAAAAGACAATAACAAAACTCCGATGACTCCCATGCCCTCGGAATGAAGTTCACACATTTAGCTAGCTCTTCAGTGCCCCCTTTGATGTGGTCCCGATGTTTTCCTGTCCTTTTTGTCCAACCCTCAACCCCAGGGAACTCAGCCAAACTAGAAGGCTCAATTTTCCAAACATGCCCTGCCATTTCCTCCATCACGTAGCGGCCTGTGACAGTGACTCCTCCCGGCGTGCCCTTCCGCACTCTCCCTGGTGTGGTCCCCAGCCATCAAGGCCCGTTCACAAGCTGTCCTGGACTCGCTCCTGAATCTCAGCCCAGGGAAAGTTCTCCTTCCTCCCTACAGCAAGCGCCGTCCTCCTGAGGGAGATGGTTCTCAAGGGCGGTGTGCTTTCCCATATCCCGCACTCTGAACTCACAGGGCCATGCCTTTCCGTTATCATAAACGAGGTTTTATTTTTCTTTCATGTATTTCCATCTGATAAATATTACTTACTATGATTTTTTTTTCTTTTTTTCTTTTTGTTGCTAGAGAGCGCGGGCACTCGCCAGAAAGACAGAGAGGGACAGAGAGACAGAAAGCAAGAAATCACCCCCCAGAGGGGGTAGCCATGCTGCAATCCCTTCTCCTCCATTCTCCTCTCGGGATCTTGGGCACGCATGCACACGTGCCCGGTGTGAGTTTAAGCCACCGGGTCCGCGACTTGAACCGTGGTCCACTACATAGGAGTCCAGCGACACAGCCATTATGCTAACTGCTGGTCCCATAAATTTTTTTTGAGAGGTTTATTTATTTATTTTTGGCCATAGGGCACATGCGCTCACCAAAGAGACAGACAGAGAGTAAGAAATCACCTCCCAGGGGAGATGGCCACACTACAATCCCTTCTCCTCCATTCTCCTCTTGGGATCTTGGGCACGCACACATATGTGCCCAGTGTGAGTTTAAGCTGTTGGGTCCGGGACTCGAACTGCGGTCAACTACATGGGAGTTCAGTGACATAGACATTACGCTAACTACTGGTCCCAATATTGCTTATTAAGATTTAACCACTCTTGCAGTTCAGTGAGTCAGTGACTAGTTTAAAAAAAAAAAAAAAAAACTACGTGACTAACCCCATAAGAAGTCCCTCTTGTTGAGTGCTGATGTTTCTGGAGCAATGTGACCATCTTTATTTGCATTAAATATCTGGCAATAACCAAGTGAATGGATTGTACTGATGCGAAGCGAGATGCATTCTGTGCAGCCGAGTCGCCGCTCTGGACCCAGTCCTGGTAGAGGGTGCATCCGGCAGACATGGGAGTCCCCAGGCATCAGAGCAGAGGCCGTTCTGTAGCCTTCATGGTATGTTCCCTATTGATCTCTATTACAACTCTGCGCACATTTCTCTTTCTGTCCACTCGGTTCCAAACTTTTTAAGAGAGAGAGCAATCCACGCATGAATTGAGTGGAGGTTGCAGGGCGGCTGGCCTGTACCCAGCAGTGGGGGACATGCCTAGATCCCGGTCATCTTGGAGTGGAGCAGGAGGCAAACGTTAAACAGATGCACGAGTAATTCCTGGAATTATTTCAGTCAGGCCACAGCGGAAGAGGCATATGTATCTTTGCATTAAATATCTGGTTTAGGACCTCGATACACACGGAGTGCGAAAATGAGAGTGCACACGCATGCACAAATGGGGAATGAGTGAATAAACTAATGGGCTATAAAGATTAAGAGGAATTAACCCGTTTATTTTAACTTAACTTCCACTAATGTCCTGAGGATTTTCAGTCACACTATGAATACTTCCACACGGTCCAGCCCACAAGGCCAGCCAGGTTCCCTGAGCGGCGGGCACACTCACAGAAGATATTTGGTAATGGCTATGTTGCTGGAGTCCCATGTAGTCGACCTCAGTTCGAGTCCCGGACCCAGTGGATTTAACTCACACCAGGTCAGTTCGAGTCCTGGACCCAGTGGATTTAACTCACACCAGGCCCATGTGTGTGCGTGTCTAAGATCCTGAGAGGAGAATGGAGAAGGGATTGTGGTGTGGCCATCCCCCCTAGGGGGGTGATGTCTCACTTTCTGTCTCTCTGTCTCTCTCAGCCTTTCTGGTGAGCACACGCGCCCTATAGCAAAAACCTCTCCAAAAAAAAAAAAATGTGTTCAGCCAGGTTTATGTGCACTTGGGAACCCCGTCCTGGCTTGTGTGTCATGCAGACATTTGTAGCAACACTAAGTTTCTGCATGACCCAGAGGCCCCAGTGACTCTCCAGCATCAAAGCCAAGCTGACGCCTGCTCAGTGTCACCCACTGGGGCCTCCTCGGTGGGCACGTAGAACTTGGGTGGCTGCGGAGTGATGGCCGGTGACCGGGCAACACTTCATCTGGCAGTGCTGCGGGCCGGCTGGCTAGACCGCGTGCTGACCTGCCTTTCTCCATTGCTCTCCACAGAACCACCTCCCTTCATATCTACATGCTGCATTTCTTCTGAGATTTTATTCAAAGCAAGAGTTCAAGACTAGGAAAACCATGAAGGAAACTCCACATCCTCTCCTTTTGCAAAGATTCCTGGTATCCGTGGTTCGACAGCTCGAAATCTGACACTGATTTCTACAAACTGGGGTTCTGGTCGCTGTAGCTGCCTACTTCATGGCAGTGGTTCCGAAAAGTACTCTGAGGAACCCTAGGATGTTTCGGAGCTCCTCCCAAGAGGAAGGATGGGAAACCCAGCTGCTCTCTGGGGCTCCCCCAGGGCACCCGCCCATATGGGCTGCCAGTTCAGCAGCTGGACAGACTGGGCTTCCACGCCTGCTATTAGGATAAGCACTGTGATCTGTGTAAAAGTCTCCTCTTGGGGAACCAGCAGGTGGTGAAATGGTTGCTTCCTTGGACTCCTATGGAGTTGATCGCAGTTCGAGTCCCGACCCCGGCGACTTAAAACTCACACTGGGCGCATGTGTACACATGCCCAAGATCCCAAGAGGACAATGGAGGAGAAGGGATTGCAGCAAGGCCATCCCCTGGCAGGTAACTTCTCACTTTCTGTCTCTCTAGTGAGCACACGCAACCTAGAGCAGAAATCTCTCTCTTTAAAAAAAAAAAAAGGCTTGGAAACCAGCAGTTAGCATAATGGCTATGTCGCTGGACTCCCAAGTAGTCGACCGCAGGTTGTGTCCTGGCCCCGGTGGCTTAAAACTCACGCCGGGCGTGTGTGCGTGCGTGCCCAAGATCCCGAGAGGAGAATGGAGGAGAAGGGATTGCAGCGTGACCATCCCGCCTGGGGGGTGATTTCTCGCTTTCGGTCTCTATGTCTCTCTCTGTCTGTCTGGCGAGCGCACGCGCCCTATAGCGAAAATCTCTCCAATAAATAAATAAATAAATAAATAAGGCTCCTCTTGGAAACTAAGCTTGAAGTTGATAAAAACCTTAGTACCTCTTCCTTTTCTAACATTATACAGAATGTTTTAATCGTGTGTCACTGTGTGATAGCGCTCCCTGTACTGTCTCCACCTCCAGGGTGTTGACAGGACACCGTGGGAGCGGGAGCAGGCACAGGTTAGGCACAGGTAAGGTGTGAGGATGAACTGAAACGCTTTAAGGAAACGGCTGAGTCGGGCAGGTAAGACTCACGGGGAAATGGTGCAGCCGGAGGCGTAGGCGTGGTGGCCCGTGTAGCGGATGTCACAGCGCACCACATTGTTGGTGTAGTCCGACTCAGGCACCAGGTAGCTGGGGTTCACGCTGACCTAGTGGGGGAGACAGTGCTGGGTTAGGGGTCATCACTGGGGCCCAGCAGGTGACAAAGTAGCCAAGGCACTGAACTCCCACATGGCCAACTGTACTTCAAGTCCCAGAGCTGGTGGCTTGAAAGTCACGCCAGGTACATGTATGCTTGCCCAGGATCCCAGAAGGAGAACGGAGAAGGGATTGTGGCATGACCATTGCCCTAGGGGGTGATTTCTTAGCTCTCTCTCTGGTGAGCATACGCACCCTAAGGCAAATACCTCAAAAAATTTTTAAAAAGGAAGGGTTCTTCATCGAGGGCAAGTAGGTAGCACAGTGCTTAAAGCACTAGACTCCCACGTGGCCAACCATGATTTGAGTCTTGAAAATCAGGAGCTTGAAAATCATGCCCGACACATGTGCGTGCATGCCCCAAATCCCCCCTTTCTCTCTCTCTCTCTCTCTTGAAAGCAAACAAACCTAAGGCAAAAACCGTAAAAAAAAAAAAAGAGAGAGAGAGAGAGAGAGTTCCTTGCTGCTTGGCTTCTATTGTTCTAGGGCTATCACAAGGAAATGGTTAAGAAAATAATTAATTTAGCTCAATCAAGCAGGAGAGGGAGTTGAAATCGAATAGTTTCCCCCTGAAGTTCTGTAAAACAAGAAATGCTTTCATGTACCTTCTTTGTCTAAAAACATTTTGTCCCCCTATGGAATGTATCACTATGTCTGAGACCACGATGATTGCTAGGTTTGAATCCAGAGGAAGGGTCTATTGATGTGTAGGCAAAGGAGTCACCATGTTCAAGGCCTCACCTTGAGGATGTAGTTGCCAGGGCTCACGTCTGTGATGTCGATCCACTGGCAGTCGATATCCGCAGCGTACGTGTCATAGCAGCCAGGACTCAGCCCCTGAAACAAACAGCATTGGAAGATTTCAAGTGATGGCAGAGGGTCGCACCGAGAGAAAGAAAATGCTAGTCTGTGCAAATGAAATTTGAAGTTAGTACTTACAAGAGTTTGACATAAAACTATACTTTTATTTCATCTCTCTTGAGAAGTATCAGTTAGCGTAATAACTACGTTGCTAGACTCCCAGGTAGTTGACCGCGGTTCGAGTCCTGGACCCAGAGGCTTAAACACGTTGGGTGCGTGTGCGTGCATGCCCAAGATCCTGAGAGGAGAATGGAGGAGAAGGGATTTGTGGCATGGCCATCCCCCCTGGGGGGTGATTTCTAGCTTTCTGTCTCTGTCTCTCTGGCGAGTGCACGTGCCCTATAGCAAAAACCTCTCAAAAAAAAAAAAAAGTATATATTACTCAGACTTAAAGCACCTCCAGCTAAAAAAGATACAGGACTGGGACCAGCAGTTAGCTGGCTATGTCGCTGGACTCCCAGGTAGTCGACCGTAGTTCGAGTCCCGGACCTGGTGGCTTAAAACTCATGCCGGGTGCGTGTGCGTGCGTGCCCAAGATCCCGAGAGGAAAATGGAGAAGGGATTGCAGCGTGGCCATCCCCCCTGGGGGGTGATTTCTCACTTTCTGTCTCTCTGTCTCTCTCTGTCTTTCTGGTGAGCCCATGGTGCCCTATAGCAAAAACCTCTCAAAAAAAGAAAGCTCGGTGGAATTCTCAGCCCGCAAGATGTAAGGTAAGTGTGAAATGTGATTACTCGAATTAGCAAACAAAACACTCCCATTACTAAGGCCATTAGCAAACAGCCATTTCATATGATCAAAGCCAAAACAAAACCAGATGAAATGTAGACCCTTAACAAGGGCTGCTAAAGCAGCTATTCAGTTTAGCAAGACTTAACCGTTACATTAACCTAACTAAATTAGCTATTTGGTTTAGCAAAACTAAACATACCTATTTAATAATGAAACTAACTAGGTTAATGTCACTGTTTTTACTTCTATATATACTTACTATGTAATTATTTCAGAGTACAGGAGTTACATAAAAATATACACAGAAGGAAATTACACCTAGTTTTATTCCAGTGTACATTTAACCAAGTCTATAGCACAACTAATCGGAAACTAATTTACGTCTAAGGTTTGTGAGTCGCCCCTCCCCCCTTTAAACAAAGTCCATGTTTAAGAGACACTGGTCTAATGAAAACACACACACATCACTTACAATGAAAGACCTGGTGAATGAGGGTCAAACAGGACATATACAAAGGATGATTAACAAGAAAGCTGCAGTATAAAATGAAGTGGGGAGGCAGCAGGTAGCATAATTGAGGTGCTGGACTCCCACAAGGTCAGCCACGGTTCCAGTCCCAGAACCAGAGGCTTGAACTCACACCGGGTGTATGTGCATGCACACCCAAAATCCTGAGAGGAGAATGGAAGAGAAGGGATTGACCTGTGGCCATTCCCACCCCCCGGGGGTGATTTCTTGCTTTCTGTCTCTCTGGCAAGCACAGGCACCCTATAGCAAAAATCTCTCTAAGAAAAAAAACGAATGAGGTTGCTCCAAGGAATAAAGGGGAACTGCCATGATAATTTCAGATTCACCATCTCCACTCAAAAGATGTGCAGGGTGTCTCTTATCCTAAACAGGAGAAGACGCACCAGGTGTCTGGTGACATGGAGGTCACAGCACGAGAGGGGTCCCTATAGCTCGTGTGTGTGACCCGAGCATGGGTAGGTGCCATCCGTTTCTGCTTGAAAAGCAAGCCTGCCTTGGAGCACCGCGAGTGTCACTTCCCCCTTGGTCGCTCTGAGGGTCTAGCTGGGAGGGAGGGGCAGTGGTAACATGTAGGTCACCCGGCAGCTTCCTGCCCAGCTGGAATGTGTTCCCCGAGAGCCGGCGCCCGGCTCCGCACTTGGGTAATGTACATTCATGTCTCCTTGCCAGGACTGGGCTGGGGTAAAATTATAGCGTCCTTCCACAAATGAGAGTTTCATATGGAAACACTGACATGGCTTTTCACAGACACACACTTTCCAAATATATAAGACATAAAACCTGCTTAGTTCAGCACTATTTAAAAAGTCCATCCGGGCACCATCTGACACCAATTATGCTGTAGGTTTAAATACATACGTCCTTTGCTCTCATTTGCATTACCCAAAGAGACAATTTCCCAAAGTGCTTTGGGAGAAACTTCCTCTCCTTTTGCTAACCCCAACCACTGCCCTATTTTTAGCCTAAGGGTAGAGGGAGGAAAGGTTTGCAGGTGAGAAAACGGAGCTGCCTCCCCTATAGTTACAGGACAGAGTGTGGACATCGTGAACCACTCGGACGTTGTCAGCGCAATTCTGCTTTTCACGTGGCACCTGACCTGCCGTGGTCACGACTGGGAAGGCTGTCAGTTGCCTTTTCTCAATGACATTCCTCTTGACAAGACGAGGCCCCCAGTAGAACAGCTTATTAAAGAGGCCCGGGAAAGGCAGCAGACCGCGCTGCCTCCGCCCTGACTGCAGCTCACCTGTGTGTGGGCGGTGCACGCAAACCGCCTGTGGTAACCGTAGTCGCAGGACGTGTCCTCCAGACAGAAGCTGGCCTTGTGGCCCTCCGCCACCCTCCTCTGGGTGTTGGCATCAAGCAGGTCATAGTGGCTGAATTCATCCATGCTGTGGTAATGTCTAATGCCCCACAGGAAAGAGGTGCTGGTCAGTGACGCACAGAGACCGCGGTGAGCACGCTAAACCACTTCCCCAGTGCCTCGAAATTTATTTTCCACATTAGAACTGAGATCAAGTTTGTCTCTCTCTCTCTCTTTCTTTCTTTTTTTTTCCCCCTGTTGCTAGAGGGCCTATGTGTTTGCTAGAAAGGAACAAGGTGAGGAGAAAACACCCCCCACACACGGGCAACAGTCACCCACAGTCCCCCTCGCCCCCTCTCCCTCCCGTGGAGACTTCGGGCTGCGTGAACCTGTGCCTGGCAGGTTTCTCAAGCTGCAGGCCCAGGACTCAGCACCGTGCAGGTGGTTATGTGGAATTAGGCTCCCTGACCTCTAGGCCAGGAATCCAAGCCTATTTCTTTTCTAAGTTAATTTATTTATGAAAGAGAGGGAACTTGTGTGCAAGTGAAAATAAGAGGGAGGGAAGGAGGAGGGGGAGAGAGCGTGCGGCAGCCTGGGTAGTGCTCAGGTATGCTGCGAGCCCTCTCTCCTGCCCTCCAGCTCATCATAGATTGGCAGCCAGCAGCCCTGGTGGCAGGCAGGTCTCCCCAGGTGGGCCCCGTGATCTCCTTAAAGAGAGGTTCATGCTGCACTTGTTCCCCTAGCGGCAAGAATCTATCAAAATGGTAAGCTCTGAACTTTGTTGCTAGGGAAAAAAAGAGCCTCGGTTTGAATACTTGGCTTTTCTATTCCACCCGTTGTACTGCGGATCACTAAATGGAAACAGTACGTGATCTGTGTTCTGGTGAGACTTGCCGTATGCCCCCTGCGACAGTTCTCTTGGCTGTCACTATCGAAGCTTCCTTCCCAAACTGCAGCACCTCACGTATGAGAGGTTTTTATAATGATCACTAAAGTGCAGAGGAATGTAACGGCACTTTGACACCATCACTATCTACACGGCATAAGCCTTTATTTAGAAACAAAATATTTCTCTTTTATCAGCAAATTAGCGGCCCGTATCTCTATTCTCACTTCATTAAAAGCAAGCACTGAGCTTTTTCATATAAGGAAAAACAATGAGAAATGCTTTCAATTTCAGAAAGTTTAAGGGCACACGTCAGGGTTTCCTGGCAACACACACCTGGCCAGCTACCAAGGCGAATATCAGAACTGCTGTACATTTAGGATGGAATGAGCTCCCGCCTGCACTGGGAGCAGCCCTTTCCCAAGGTGGAGTGGGAGCTTTCCCAGCTCATGGGTATGTCACCTACGTCTGTCTTCGAGAATGGTCTCTGAATCCTTTTAATGACAATGCATGGTTTTGTTTACTTATTTTTAATTAGCAGAGGACATATGCACTTCCCAGAAACAGAGAGAGATAGAGAAAGGGAGAGGGAGAGGGAGAGAGAGAGAGAGAATGCACCCCCTAATGGGGCATGGTCAAGCCACAATTCCTTCCTTTCCATCTCTCTGTCCTGTCAAGATTTGGAGCACACATGCAGATATACCCACCAAGCAGAATCCAAATTGCAGTGAGCCATGTGAGACCTGGAGCCCTTACGGTTACAGGGCTGGCCTGTAGTCTTTATTAACTGTTATTTACTGCTCATTAATGGGTGATAATATTGACTGCGTACTGGACTTTTCAAAAAATTCCTACTATAGTATACTGCATACATTTATTGAAATCAATTGCTGTATGTGATCAATAATTTTTTTTAGAGGGAGAATGTTTGCTATAGGGGGTGTGTGTGCTTGCCAGAGTGACAGAAAGAAACAGAGAGACAGAAAGCAAGAAATCACCCCGGGAGGAATAGCCACATCACAATCCCTTCTCCTCCAGTCTCCTCTCAGGATTTTGGGCATGCACACACACGTGCCTGGCATGAATTTGAAGCTGTCAGATCTAGGACTTGAACCACAGATGACAATGTGGGAGTCCAGCAATGTAACCATTAGGCCATCTGCTGGTTCCAATTATTCTTCTATGAGAGAAATTTTTTGCACCAGGGTACATGTCCTTGCCAGAGAGACAGAAAGTAAGAAATCATTCGCATGAGGGATGATCATACTGCAATCCCTTCTCCATCATTCTCCTCTTGGGATTTTGGATGCACACGCACCTGCACCTGGCGTAAATTTCAAGCCTTTGGATCTGGAACTCAAACTGTGGTCAGATATGTGGGTGTCCAGCTCCTAAACCACTAAGCTACCTATGGGCCCCTATGATCAATCATTTTAATATGCTTGGTTTAGAGATTACAATTCAAATAACAGAACCTAGTAGTTGACGGATTATCTTAAAGACGACACTCTTGGGCCAGCAGGTAGCATTGTGGTTAAGGTGTTAAGTCCTACATGGCTGACTTTGTAGTTTGAGTCCTAGACCCAGAAACTTGAAAAACATGCTGGGTGCATGTGAAGATGCATCCAAAACCCTGAGAGAATGGAGGAGAAGGAATTGTGGCATGGCCATACCTCCTGGGCAGTGCTTTCCTGCTCTCTGTCTCTCTCTCTCTTGTCTCTCTCCAGTGAGCACATGCACCCTATAGCAAAATTTCAATAATCAAGGTAGACCCTCTTGAGCATGTCAAATTATATACAGCAAAACTTTCAATGGAAATAATAGAAATTTTCTCCCTTTGGTTAAGAAATAAGTCTTGCAGGACCAGCAGATGGCATAATGGTTATGTTGCTAGACTCTCACATAGTTGATCACAGTTTGAGTCCCGGACACGGCAGCTTAAAACTCACGCTGGTCGCATGTACATGAGTGCCCAAAATCCCAAGAGGAGAATGGAGGAGAAGAGATTGCAGTGTGACTATCCCTCACTGGGGTGGTGATTTCTTGCTTTCTGTCTCTCTGTCTCTGTCTCTCTGGAGAGTGCATGTGCCCGATAGCAAGAAGTAAGTCTTGAGTTTCTCATAGCGAGAATCACCTAAAATGTGAAAAAGCAATTCTGACGTACCCAGGAGGCCCATCCACTTACTGGTGACAACTGTGCCACTCCCAGGAGTATCTTGGACGACTCGGTAAGAAGTCTGACGTCCCTTGGTTTTTCACTCTTTGGGGAAATCTTAGCAGTACTCTCTGGTCATAATCTCTAGCCCTGTATGCAGAGCTGTGATTTGAAAAAAGAAATAGATTTTTTTTTCACTAAAACAAATCTATAAAAAAAAACCCCTCCATTACAAGACAGTGACAATTCCACCTTCCTTCCCCAACCAGACTCCCAGTTCCAGCAGGACGGACATCTTCTTCATTCTAAATCCCAAGCTGCTACAAACTTTCTAGAGAGGTCAGAGTTCAGTGTCCATTTGGTGAAGGAGTGAATGAATGACAAGGACGGAGATCCACAGATCTGAGAAAATTATGGCTGAAATCTACATGTGAGAAGTCAACTTTGTATCTAGAATCGCCCACTCTGACCTTATGAATGAGTGAAATCCGGGAGCAAATTATACCAAATAAAAAATAATTCGTAGATCCTCACTAAGAACTTGGATTTTAACCAAATGTGTCTTCTGGGATAGTGAACTACATGTAACTTGAAGAACTCACTCTAATGGAGTAGGCCCAGAGTTGGATAAATAATTTTGTAACTTCTCTGTCTTCAAAACAATGGCACTACTGTCCCATCACAGAAAGTTCAACGGTGGGGTGACGCAGGACTCGGGAATGAAAAGGAGCTTAATTTTTTTCTCTTCCTTTAGCCAGAGAATTAGGAAGGACCAAGGCTGAAGAAACGCGCAAATCCTCACTCCTGCGTTCCTACTGATGGCGCCTGAAGGCAGGTTCAGATTTTACCGACGACCTTATTTTACACCGCACCGGGTTTTTACGGGACTCACCAAAACATTGTTTGCTCCCCCTGCTGGTTTCTCAGCAGCAAACTCAGGGAGCCGCAAGCCCATCAGTGTGATTGCATTTTAGAACGGAGGGACAAAACAACACTCTGGCTCATGGTCTTATTTTGGCTGAAGTAATCCGAAAGCAACCGAGCTACTCGTGGCCTCACTCAGCAGAGGAACCCTTAGTCTTTCTTTATGCGGGATGCCAGAGTAGCACATTTGCCCAGTCGTTTAAGGGGGTATTAACGAGCGCTTCCAATACAATATTTACAATGTTTTTCCCCCTACCACTATGTGCAGTTGTTTATAGAAAGTGACTAGGACCGTTGGCTCTAAAGCTTAAGAATCTTGGGAAAAGAATGTGAAACTCTGTCTCCAGGATAAGGGTGAGTGTCACCTCCCAGAGTCGTGCCGCAGTTAGAGACAGAACCCACAGAAATCGTCTACACTTAATTCTCCGCCCAGGTCAGCTCGCCTAGGTCAGGTCCCACTTCCCAGCCCTTCTCTGCGCGGGGCAGAAGCTGCCAGAACCAGGCACCAGGGCGGCTCCTGGAACCCGGACGCGCGAGTGCAGCCCACCTGGCCAGACAGTTCTCCTCCGCGGCGCATCGCAGGTTGTACATGGACATCTTCTGCACGTACGTGGACGCCTGGATGTAGTAGGGGTCGGGCACCAGGTCCGGGAGACCTAAACGTTAGCAGGCGACAGGCGCAGCAGTGAGGCAGCCGAGCGCCCCCGCCACCAGCCGGTCCCTCCAGGTCCCTCACTCCTAGCCTTTCCCCGGCAGGATTGCAGGAAGGGGCAAGGGTATGGGGAGAACCGAGGGCGCCCGGATTGCAAAGCAAAAAGGAAAGGAAGCAGGAGGGGCCAGGCGCGCGGTTTGCACCAGATTCCAGGGCTGCCTTTGCAGGCGAGGGGGGAGGGATCGGTCTGCTGGGACCAGGGCCCGCCGCGCCCAGGCAGCCACGTCGAGGAGCCTCGGCTGGGGGTCG